CCCCCCCCCCTCTCCCCCCCTTTAATAGAAAAGAACTTCTACTCGTCTGCTACGCCCCCCATTCCCAAACAAAAGAAGGGAACCAAACGCAAATGTTTAAATCTTTATCTTATATTATGAATGTAAATTTAGTAGAAGAGTAGCCTTTTTTCAAAGCTGTTCAGTAATGACAACTTGACGACTGTTCGTTGTTTTGTCAAAGAAAAGTTATGTAAGTTGTGTGCATTCTTTTTAGTTGTATATTTAAACTTTCCGTGTGTTTCGATGGTTGCGGGATAAATTGGGATAATTTTGAGGGTACTTGTGTTATAAATTGTTGAAGAAAAAAATGCATACATTTTTAGATTTCAGGTGTGTAGTGCCAGCGCATAGATCTGTTTTTGTTTCTTTGGTTCTTTGAGTGCACGTCATTGAACACCAGCGCCCCCTCCTTGCTTCCTTCAAGAGATAAGAGTTAAGTCATGCTTAGCTATAGCGTTCCAATGTAAATATTTTGCTCTGTCTGAATTCGAGTCCACCCCCCCCCCCCTCAAATTGCGCCCGTAGAGCCTGTTTTCATTGCCATGTGTGCATGCGTCAGTCTCCTCGTATCTCACTTTTGTGTGCTCTCTTATATTGTTAGCAGTTGACTTACAACAAGTAGGCCTCTTCTATTTCCATGCTGCCAAACGAACTGGCTCTGCAGATGCCCTAGGAGATTTTTGAAATTCCGAGAACAGTGAAGTTGAAATGTATGTTAGGCATTTTCATTCATTTCCTTCCAGCCCAATTCCGCAATCACGCATTTTGTTCGGTCTGTACTCATAACCGTGACTGGGTATTTACTTTTCTAAGTACAAATTATGTTCTTCTGGTAATTTTGCCTCCTCCCCTCCGCACCGAGAACGCTGCCAGTGGTACGTAAGTAAGAGCATAGCTCCCCGATGACGGCACACCTAGAGTGTGGGGTATGCCAGGAATTCCGTATTCGTTCTATGCCTCGCTCTTTTTCGGCTGGGAATCATTCACGGAGTTTTAACATTTCGGACCGCAAACCCCTCCTCGTCTTCATACGCTTTTTACCCCCAGTGCGTGCCAGCCGTCCGACACCGTGGTTACTCCACTCTCGCTGCTTACAACCCCCCCCCCCCCTCCCTTTTCTCCTTTTCTGTCAATAAACTGGAGCCTATTTACTTAAAGAATTGTTGCAATGCTCAGCACATGGCGCGTTCGCTTTCCCCATTCTCTAATTTTTAGCAGCACCCCCCCCCCTAATCTCCTCATTCTCTAATTTATAGCACCTCCTCCCTCTCGTTCTTTAAATTATATTACCCCCCCCCCCCCAATCCCCCACCCAAACTCTGTATAAAGACCACCTCCCAACCTCACCCAAACAAAAGAAAGAAAAACTAAAACAAAAGCCCGACGAACACGGACCGAAAGTCGCAAAACAAAGAAAAACTCGAGTGCAAAAGCAAATAAAAAAGAAAGAAAAGATGTTGTAGCTACCTAATATTGTTGCAACATATTATGTGAGGAGTGGTTGCTGTCGTACTGGGGCACCCAGTTGATTGGCTTGTCACACATAGTGAGATAGCCTACGGGCTTGTGTACTTTTCCTCTGAACTGACTTTTCATCTTTCTTTTGTTTGAATGCCATTAGTATTTTCGCAATTTGTATGCATACGCTTCGTATTTTGAAGAAAACGTTGATTGTGGGTGGTTGGTGGATGCTATGGTGTGATTTTCTCCTTCTTTCCATCTATCGTCCTTATCTCACCCCCTTTTTTGTTTTTGTTACCCTCTTGTAACACTTCTAATCTTCGGCACTTATATAACCTTATTGTGTTGCAAGTGCGTAAAACTCTTTTTAAAAAACAACCCTATTTATAATGGTATTTTACATCAAACTTGGATGAAAATCTTGTTTCTACACACATATCAACAATTAAAATTGTGAAACATGGGTTTCTTTATGTGAAAAAAAGTCGATGGTGTGCTCTGAATTTATTACTTATTAATGTTCAGTGGAAGGAAGGACTGTGGTCTGGCATAATGTTGTCTCCGTCACGCTTCAGGAGTGACTGTGAGCTAGACATTTTTTCGTGTCACCGCATACTTGGTACTGGCGAGATTGTGACTATTTACAGAAAAGGGGGGTGTCGCCCCTTAAAAAAGTATCTTATGACTTTTCTGTGTTGTTATGTCTGCCTTTTTGTGGCTTTTACGGCAACTGCTACTATCACTTTGGTTAGTTGGAAGGTGCAATTGGTAGTACCTACTTCTTTTCTTCCCCTCTAATGTTTCTGTTTAGTTTATTAGTCTGTCTTTTTCTGTGCACGTCTGTCAATCTGTCTTATTTTTTTCGCGCACTAAGTGACTATTATTGTGACTATGTACTTAAAAAAAAATAACAACTAAAGCAAGCAAGCAAACAAACAAACATAACTATCACTTCACACCGTTACATGGTCATATCAACAGCGTATTTTGACTTTCTTTTCTACCACTTTGTTGGTTGTTGGCGGGTGCTCTGGTGTGGTTTGCTTCTTCTATCCTATCAAACGCCTATCATCTTTATATTTCCTCTTTTTTGTGTTTGTTACTCTCTTGTAATACCTCTAATCTTCGGCACTTATATTATGACCTTATTGTGTTGCAAGTGCCCTAACACACTTAATGGGTGGTTGGCGGGTGCTCTGGTGTGGTTTGCTCCTTCTTTCCTATCAAACATCTATCGTCCTTATCTCCCCTTCTTCTTTTTTATGTTTGTTACTTTCTTGTAACACCTCTAATCTTCTGGCGCTCATATGACCTTATGCAGTTGCGAGCACCGTAAAATCTCTACTAAACTAAACTAACACACTAAAACTTAAAAAATTCTACCACTTCGTGCACGCACAAGTGTGTAATGAAATGTGTATATACGGATATAATATTATTGTGTTACCTATAACTTTTACGGAGTAGTGTTGACATTTTTGCCTTAAATTATGTCTGTGGGTGGTTTGCGGCTGCTCTGGTGTTGTTTGCTCCTTCTTTCCTATAAAAAAATCTATCGTCTCTATCTCCCTTCCTTCTTTTTTGTTTGTAACTCTCTTGCAACACATGTATTCTTGGGCACTTATTATATTACCTTATTGTGTTGCAAGTGCCGCAAAACACTTACTAAAACGAACATACATTATGTTGGCTTCCTTGGTTTGAATGTTTGTTTAAAGATCTGTGAGGATATCCCACCCTTGGTGTTATTTGGTCACTTTTGAGCACAACGGGGCTATCCCGAAAAACGCTGTTTTGAAATCGAAGGTTACGTTTTGGGAACCTTGTTCAGTTCGTTTAAAAGACAAGGAGAGTTTTCTCTATAACCAAACAAGTATACACACTAATGACACCCAAACTTCGCCTAGGTAGGGCAATGCCCGCTTTTGGTGTTGGTCAAGATTTCTGGAAACCCCAAAATCTGAGTTAGCCCGCTTGTCCTTAAAAGCGGCCATTTACGGTGCGCAGTCGTTTGGGATATATTTGTCATGGGTTGTTAAAGTATATTATTTACATTTGCTACCTCTACTAAAACAAAACAAGCTGTCTCCTGATCACAACCGTCATGGAATAATCGTAATTGCCATGGAAAGAGCCTGATTTGAAGATTAAATTAGGTTTTCAGGTATTACACCCTCGCCTCTAAAAAAACAAAGCACACACCCATGCACAGACACGTACACACACATGTGTGTGGCACGCATGCACACTCACGCTCTCTCTCTCTACCTCTTCTCTCACATACACGTGCGTGCACGCACACACACTCACACACGCACAGACACGCACATACGCTCTCATACACACACACACACACACACACACACACACACACACAAGTGACCGAAACAGGAGTGATCGAACGAATGTGTGCTTTGAGTCGTCCGCGTCTCGTAATGTATCGCGTGATGGGGCCGCCATCGCTACCGCAACAGGAAATAAACTACCTGGGCTGACTTGATCGTGGGACGGGGAGCCGAATGCTCGTCAGCGCTCAAAACATCACAGAACATTACGACACGTAGCTAAAAATAACGTTCATGATTCTGACAAAGTCACATGATGGGTATGCGCTTCAGCGCTAAGAATAGGAGGTCACGACCTAAAATGACAAGCCCAGGTTGGATTCTCCTGGTGTTGAAGAGAAAAAAGTCGTTCAGCGTAGTTTGATAGATATATTATATAGGCAAACAGATACATTTGGCCGCTCACTTAATTAATTTGAGGGAACAGAGGGACAAAATTATGAGGGAAACGGACCTCAGGCGGCATTGCAAGCAGAAATATTATGAAAGGAGTTTTCCTCATCATGTATTTTGCTCCATTGAAATTGAAATAAGATAGATTATTACTAGTACAGTACTAGACTTTGTAGTTACTCCACATTTAGTGTGTTTACAGAAGGGGGATTGATGTTAAAACAACTAAGTCTAGTAATTAGTTCATGTTACTTATTTTATCACTGAAGGGTTAATATTTTTTTACAACCTCGTTGAAGTCATTATTCCTTTTTTGGACTTTATATAAAGTTTGCGAATCTGTTGTGAGTGCTGCTATTTTTTAGAAGTTTTATGTCACAAGTTTTTTGTGGGTTGTTTGTGGGTGTTTTGATGTTGCTTGTTTCTTTCTTCCTATGAAAAATCTATTGTCCTTATCTTTCCTTTTCTTTTAAATTTTATTCTCCAGTAACAACTCTATCCTTTGGCGTGGGTGGTTGGCGGGTGCTCTGGTGTGGTTTGTTCCTTCTTTCCTATCAAATGTTCTATCGTCCTGATCTCCCCTCCTTTTTTGTGTATGTTACTCTCTTGTAACACGTTATCTATTCTTCGGCACTTATATAACGTTATTGTGTTGCAAGTGCCGTAAGACTCTGACTAAAACTAAACTAAACTAACCTTTGGCTCTTATATGACCTATTTGTGTTTCAAGTGCTGTAAAACTTTAAAAAAAATTAAAACTGAACTAAACATGTTTTTCAGGGGACAACATTCATTTAAAGATCCTAGTTCCCAGTGTTGCTGCTGGGGCCATCATTGGAAAAGGAGGAGAGACTATAGCCCAAATACAGAAGGATGCTGGTGCCAGGGTAAAGATGTCCAAAGCCAACGACTTTTATCCTGGTGAGTGGGAATAGTTTTGTTTTGCATTGATCCTTAATTCTGCATCAGGCTTTCAAGTTCAAACCCCCTTTGTTGTGTATGTTCCCTCTTTGCTGTGAGTGTTCATGTCCTTCCCAGCTCTGCTGCTGTTGGGCACATGTCATATATGTTTATATGCTTGAAGGCAATAAATAACATTGCATCAGGGTTCTTGGGGGGGAGGGGGGGGGGGGTGTTAAAGACAAATGTTCTAAATCTCAGGAAGAGCTTAGGCAATTATATTTTGAGTATTGAGAAACTTAAAATGAATTGAGATGATAGACTTGTACCATTAAATCCTAGAATGTGGTCTTAGATAATTTCAGATTTCACTTTAGAGCGCGCTATTTTAGCCAAATGATGGGCAAGGGAAGAGTGTGCCATACTTAATCGACTTCAGTGAGACTGGTATTTTGATGTTTTTTGTGACCTCTAATTGTGCTCTTTTATTCTCTTTTTTGTTAGTAGCAAACAGGTACACAACTCTGGAAGTAAATTTTAAAGCATTTTTTCCTTTAACTTTGTTTTTCGGCTCCCATTCTACGGTAACTGACGTTGCTGCTGCTGTTTTTACTACTACTGCTTCTATACTTTACTATTATTATGGCTATTATACAACTACACTGTATTCTTCTTCTTCCTCTTTCTCATCCTCCTGTTCCTCTATTATTATTCTAATGGTGTCCGGGTGTTTTTTAAAATCAAGAAGTTCTACGTGAAATATCAGCAGACGTTTCAAACACAGGGAGTTGGCAGATGAAGCCAAATTATTCTACCCATTTGGAGGTGCAAAAAGATGAGCCAACAAATGTAGACAGTAGTGCCTTTATTTTGAGTTAAATTATTACTCTTATTACCATTGTTATCATTAATTGACAATTTTTATTATTCATGATAATGATGGTGATGATGATAAAATAATAATGATGAATACAATGATAAAAGTAATGATAAGAATAGCTCCAGTTGTAACTGCAGCAGCATTGTGATTGGGTGTTTCTTTAAGAATCATGAATGTCAGTAAATTTCTTTCTAATTAAGGATATTTACCAAATTTTTAGGTTTAAGATTAGATCAGAATTTTTTTTTGGTTGTGATTTTGAAATTTTCTTTTGGTTACTGCTCTTTTGTTTTCCAGGAGTAGTAGCAATTTTTAAATAGTAAATTACTGAAAATAGACTGACAGTGCATATAAATGTAGCACATGTGATCTGGCTTATTGAAAATTTGGCGTAGTACTTTTTTTAGTATGCAGATAAGTTGAATTTGAAAAGAGTACTACTAGGGATGGTAGAAGTAGAAGTGTATCAGTTAGTTGATTGTTAGATTTTAAAAGTTTTTATTTTATGTGAACAGGAACAGAAATAAAGCCTTAAGTTTTTTTGGTAAAGGAAAATGAGTTTGAAAAAAAAAAGGTGTAATGCTTCTGAGTGAGTTACAATTTGGTTGTCTCTTCCCCATTCGGTGATGGAATGAATAGTAGGAAGAGAATAGTAGAGAGTGTCCATACTCAGTTGTGTGAAAGTTTTAATAAAATTGTACAGCAGATCTGTCTTCAATTAGTAGCATTGTATTCATTTCATTACTTTGTATCCCTTTTCAGGCACCACAGAAAGAATCTGTTTAATAATGGGCTCACCAGAGGCTGTCCGTCAAGTTAACAACTTCATCATGGAAAAAATAAGGGAAAAGCCGGAGTCCAATCCCACCACCCCAACAAAGCCTGATGATGCCAAAAATAATTTTGAGAGGCATCGGCAGGTAATAGAGGTATTTCAGGTTCCATTTTCATCCTCATTTCATTCTTCTGTAGGATCTTCGCCTTTGGTTCCCAAATTTGTAGATGAAAAAACAGTTTTATTTTTGTCAGCGTGTTTTGTTTGCTTTTGTTATGGGAGAAGTACAATTGCTGTTTGTCAAAATGTATAGATGGAATTGGTTATGCGGGCTTAACACACACAATTTGTGGAATTGTAGTGACGCAGCTGGACAGAACCACTCTGAAGTTCAATTAATTTTATTAAAAATTTTGTTCCTGGCAGTTAAAAATTATTTTTTTAAACGATGGCCTCACCCTGCCATTGATGATCTGACACACACCTCAGGAAAGAACAGAAGTTAAATTTGTTTCTTAAAAAAGGTGGAAATAGTGTAGATGTTGCAAATTGACTGCTATCGTGGACATCTTTCATCTGCTTAAATTTCTTTCCGAATTGTTGTTCCATTGATAAAGATGGTGCCACTAAACCTGTCAATTTCACACACTTCATTTTGACATGTGAAAGCAAACAGTACAAATTACACCCGTTGTCTTTTATGGAAAGGTCTAACTTGGTACTTCGAAATCAAAGTAAATTTTATAGTATACCTGTAAAAATTATACATGTGAAGCCCTCTGTAGCTTGCATATTTTCTTCAAAACGGTTTGCTTCTTTGTTCACTTTTGAACTGAACCGTGGTGTAAATTTTTCTTCTTTTGGCCACCAGTTTATTTATCATAAATAGATCAGTAAAGAATTAGCACTCTTTGCCGCTGTCTAAACTCATGAAGTTAGACAGCCTTTCCCTTGGGTGCTAAACCAAAAGTCTGCAGACCTTGACGGCATTTCTGATACTCACAGACTGCTGCTTAATTTGCAGAGACATTTGAAAAACATACTTTAGCCAGAAGAGGTGAATTGCTTTGTCAAAAAGTACTTACTAAACATCAAGCCCTCACATGATTTTCAATCTAAATGGTTTGATTATTGTTTTACTTAGACTACTGTCCAAATGATATACTTAAATAGAGTATAATTTGATGACTGTGGAGTGTATGAGCAAATCAAATTTGTGTACATGTGTTAAGTGGAAGGGGGCTGGACGATTGAAGAGTGTATAAAAAGTAATAATGACAATTTACACTTTTTCAAATGCTTTATGAATTTATTACTGGAACCCAAAGGTGAAGATCGATCTTAGATCACCTTTCCTATCTAGATAATTGTAATATATGCAACCATGATGCTGTAAGGTAAGAATGAAGTTAAAGCAGAATGTTTTAAAAGAATTATTCTTGGATGTGGCAATTACAGTTGTCATGGAGGTTGTTTTTTTTTCACCTTTTAGGTCATAGATTTGGTTGCATATCAGTTGTTGGAAGTTGTCCTTTATGGCTAAACAGCCTGAAATCTAGAGCTCTCACCTCTAATTGGAGAGAGTTGAGGAAAAGCTAAGTGGTATGCCACAGCCACAGACACTGGTCGATTCATGGCTTTTTCTATAATTTAAGCTTTCACGGAATATATTTAGATGAGACAAAAGGGTCTTAATTTCCAGACCAAGTCTGTGGGGTACTCTTGTTACCCTTATTCTTGTCACCTTAGTTTTCAAATATTTTTGGTGTCGATATTTAAGTCAGTTTTTTAAGTGCAGATGAATGAAACAGAATCTCCCTTATTTAGTAAGTATACTTCAAATCCAAGGATGGATATGCTCTAAGAAGATATCAGAGAAATGAAAGTTGATTCAGGTATTCTGTTGTTTCGAAAATTGGAAAGAAGAAAAAGCTGTGCAATCATCAGTTGAGAATGGTAAGATGGAAAAGTAGTAAATCATTTTCACAGTCATGGTCATTTCAGCATTTTCATCTCATTATCAGATCAACCAAATCATTTTTTCAGTTCAGCATAATCACAGTCATCTGCTCAGTTCAACATAATCACATGATCATTTGCGTCATTGAGCATCCCACTTGATCATCTTTCGCAAAATTTCATTCCTTCTGAATGTATAGATTTGTAGCAATAGTGTGTAGTCTGACTCGTAAATTTATTTGGCTAGCTTATATTAATTGCGTTGTCTACAACGGAAAGTAATGATATTTTTTCATAAGTTTCCTAAACTTCAGTGCTGTTCCTAAACAATCAAGTGAAAAGTCTCTGGAAAGTCTTTGAAAAGAAATGTAATCTTCAAGTATGAATTTTAAGATTCCGTGCATGCTTATTTTAAATAAAGCCGTGCTAATGACCATAGGTGTAATTTTTTTGTATTTTCCATTTCTTTTGAGTGCCTTTATTTCAATGTTTTCTTTACTTTAATTTGCATAGGTCAAGATTTTGATTCCTAACAGCACAGCTGGGATGATCATTGGGAAAGGTGGAAACTTTATAAAACAAATCAAGGAGGAAAGTGGTGCCTATGTGCAAATTTCGCAGAAGTCAAAGGAGACTAATCTTCCTGAACGATGTGTTACTGTTGCTGGTAAGTTGGTTTTTTCCTTCGATTAATAGGGTTAAGCATAGCGAATTCAGACTTGGCAGTGCTATTTTGTTCACGTAGTTGTTAAAGCCACAAGTGTTTCTCAGTATAGGCTTTATCTTGCTGTGTCTGGGTGGTGGTCAGTGGTTGTGAACCTGCTAGCAGGCCCCTGAAAACCCCCCACTAAAAACTGGAGACTATAGTATGCCCGCAACAGAAACATAGAACTTAGGTAATAAACAGTATCTAGAAGCATTGTACCAACTACATGGCAGAGATGGAGGCTCTCATACATGTGGCAAATGTCATCAGGGATGTGGCAGACCCCCAAAGCCAAATAGTTTTCCAGACAGATGTCATGTCAGTACTGCTGACAAACTCCCAAGGCTGTGAAAGCTAATAGATAGCATTTCATGCGTAAGGATGAAACTGCAGCGGGTCCTTTTGAGCTATGTTGTCTTGGGGAAATGAACAGGCGGACAGGATGGAAAGAGTGGGTTTGCAGGAAGAACTGCCAGACAACATCAGCTATCTAGAAATGAAAACTCTTTTAAAAAAAGTATTTAAACACCACAGATACCAGATAACTACCATGAGCTGACACGCCAAGAACGAGTGACTATCTTTAGACTAAGAACACAACACACAATACTCAAACAACACGTGTACAGTTGTATTAATTACAATCACCAAAATATCAGTGTGGAAAAGAGAACCAGACTGTGGAACTCATCCTCCAGCAGTGCAGTGCAGGATACACACACACCCTGAAACAGGAAACGTGGTCTAGGAGCTATACACTATACAGGCCAACAGAAGTACTTGGCAGGATGGCCCAGTATATTACTGATACCGGACTTCAAGAACAATGCAGTCGAGAAGAAGAAGAATAGACAGCAGAAAATGCTTTGCTCATGCACTTCTTCATGCTCTTCATTTTCTTTCCATTACTGACAGTCTCATAACCTGTCAGTTTCATTCCAATGCGTTGGCTTGAGAAACTTGAGACAGTGGTCAATAGTCTTTAGCCTCTAGTAGCATGGTATAAATTCTTCCTGCAAAAGGCAACAGCAGTAAGCCTGACTCCCTGACCAGCTCAATTCTATTACTGGGCCACAGCCTTCCAATCTCTTCCTTTGTTAGGCTATATCAGTTGGAAAGGTTTTCTAAATGGCCTTGCTGATGTGCTGGATAGAATTAATGTTGGCTGAACTTTTGTTCACCCTCACTGGAAAAGTCATTCTTTTATGAACCTGTGTTTTAATTCGATTTTTGAGTGACCTAGCTAAAAATAATATTAAGAAAGATTTGGGATGGAAAATTTTGTTTGAGGAGCTGAGAAAAAAAGTTGTGGAGTAAGTGTTTGTAACTGGGTGGTAGCAAAACTATATTTTGTATTTTCTCATGCTCTTAGATTCCACCTTTTAGTATCAGAAGTGGTTGATTTTGTTTCTGTTTAGAAAATCACTATCAGCAAGTTATTGTTGAATTTCTGGTGCATTGAAGGCAGCTCCCTATTTTGCTGATGGAAGCAGTTTATTTTCCGTTTCCTTTCTGACCATCAGGATGGTTCACATTCAATTGTTTTGGCCCATTTGATAATGAACTTGGCTTATACACGAGTCTGAATACAACTAGGATCCAAATTTAAAAAATATCCTTTCTCAATGTGTTGTCCTGAAAACATACAAGTCTTTTTTTGGAGATGGTCAACTTCGTGTCTAGTTTGGGGTTTTCCCCCTGAAGTATGCACAAAGTATGCATAAGATTTCGTTACTTATTTGACCTTCCATTCCACAAAAATGGTCTCAGGCAAAAAAAAATTCAAACATTTTGTGTCCATAAATTTTGCTTTTTATGGTTTATTCATTACCACAATATGGGGGGGGGGGGGGGGGGGACACTGAATGATTTATGTCTAGTTTAATTCTTTATCTCGAGGGGGGTAAACCCACTATGCTGGGGCCCTTTTTTGGTACTAAATCTAAAAATTATGAAAACGTCTCTAAACTGGTCATTAGATAAAACTAGTGAACCTATTTTGATAGTTTTTCACCTAATGAATGAAATCCCAATAAAAGAGACCTGTTTTCGGCAGTTGCCGAAACTTAGTTTGATGTCGAACTCGCCGTAAAGGAATGTGCCCGAGCCGCTGTCAGCAGCTCACCGGCACAGTGGTTCCGACTGCGAGCCGAGCGGCTTGCTGGAGATAGAGTTAAGCAGGTTTAATTGTTTTAAGATTGGGAAGGGTGTAATGGGAGGTTATTTTTTTTTAGATGTTGTGCATCATGCCCTGTTCAGGGAAATTGAAACGTTTTTATGAAAATGCAACAGACATTCGAAGCTAGAAACATTTACATTTTCTTTGCAACATAATAAAGCCAGGAGTAACCAACCATAGAATATGGCATGAGTTTTAATTTGAAAATTATGACATCGTTCCAGTCATGGATTGAACATTTTTGTTTTAACTTTCACAGCTCCAAACAGCCAAAGGTCTAATGAGTCTTGTTACTTTTTTGTTCTTTTTCAGGTGAAATTGATGCCAATATGAAAGCAATGGACCTTATCTTGCAAAAAATTGTAGAAGACCCCCAGAGCAGTAGTTGCCCCAATATAAGCTATGCTGATTATACAGGCCCTGTTGCATCTGCCAACCCGACAGGATCCCCATTTGCCAACACCCCTTACCAAGCACGTAGCACTGATATGATAAACAACACAGCTGCTGCATATCCTGGACAAGGCTTCAATTTCGGTACCAATGGGAATAACTCCTACAATGGCATGGGAGGCCTTGCTGGACTGAACATGACCCTCAGTGCTGCTGCCATGGGACTAGGTGGCCCCATGGCTGCACAGGCTTTGGAAAACCTAAAGATGACTCTGAGGGGTTCTGGCTACACTGAACAAGCCACAGAGGAAATAAGTACCGCCATGAATACCCTGGCTAATTATGGAATCTTAGGCATGGGTATGGGAGGCGTGAACCAGATGGGGGCAAACATGACGGCATCCAGTTTAGCTAGCATGCAGGGCATGCAGATGGCAGGGACAACCACCGGGGCAGCTGCCAACACATCCTTTGGCAATGCCACTTCCCAAGCTTCCAGCATGTTTGGACCCGTAGGCAGCACGTCAACGGGCCAGCAGCAGTCGACTAGTTTGTTTGGAAGCTCTTCGCCAAGCATGGCTGGTGCCACCGACCGCTATGGCTCCAGTTCCATGCTCAATGATTCGTTTGCGCAGACTCCGGGCTATGCCGCGTCTGCCAGTGCTGTCACCTATCCTACCCAGGACCGCTCGCCAGGGGCTGTCACAGTCAATGTGAACCAGAACTCTTTTGGGCTGGGCACTGGGATGTACAGCCCCACCGACGACAAGACGTCCACCAAGCAGGAGATGGAGGTCCCAGAAAATATAGTAGGTGCCATCCTGGGCCCAGGTGGTAAAGGTATTGTGGAGATCCAGCAGTACACAGGCACCAATATACAAATCTCCAAAAAGGGGGTCTATGCACCAGGCACCCACAATCGCATTGTATGCATCTCTGGCACTGTGAACAACATAACCCGGGCGCAGTACATGATCCAGCAGCGGATCCAACAAGAAGAGTACAAGCGTGCACGACAGGCTACAGCTCGTTAAATATGATAATACATGGTATATTTTTAAAATACCAGTTGATAACTGTGGTCCTCAGTCATTTTTTTTTCTTTGGTTTTTGTTTTTGCTTTTAAAAAAAATTGTGAAGCTTTTTCAGTGATCAGTTGTCTTTTTAGTTCTTCATTCTAGTTAACAATATTCATTATTGTTTATTCCGAGAAAGATCCAAATTTTCCCCCTTCTCCTTTCACTTTGGTCTGCTATATTTCCCTTCTTCGGTGCAGAATTTTACATCCTCTTTCTCTCTTGCTGTTTTAGCATTCAATATTCTGAGTCTTTCTAAGCAAGGCTCTTCATGTTGGTTTCTTTGTATTCATTAGTTGTACGGATTTTTAAGATGAACATGGTGTAAAATGTTTCATCCACCTCTCATCATTCATCTTCCATTGTACTGCTCATCAATCCTCCATTTATCAGAAGACCCAAAGTCTTGCATTGGTTTTTACACAGTACTGGTCGTCTAGGAAACTAAAGGGCTGTGAATCAATAGTTTTTCCTTACCAATTTTTTGGTGGTGTGTGTTATTAATGTTTTTTTTTTAAATTACTATATATATATATCGAGAATCATGCTGCTGTCTGCAAGTTCTACAATTATTTTTACCATGACAGTAAATCTGTATTGTAGAATTTTGCAGGCGGTAGCAGGCCAGTAGTTGCTGCCTTTGCTGTTCATCTGACAACATGCATCGTTCATTCTGACCCTCATCCTCATTTCATTTTCACCCACATCTTTAACTTAATAGACGGATGTCTGCATGCTGACAGTCATGTCAATATGTGGACCCTCTATTTTGTTTCATTCGTTTTCATCTCTTGAAACAGAAAAAAAGTAAAATGGAAAGTTTGGTAAAAAAACCTTCCACTGTTTTAAACTGCAATTATGAAATACTATTTGTGATAATACATTCTACATTAATGTAATTATGGAAAGCATTGTGACAAAATTTATTTATTTTTTCTCATCTTACTATGCATTTGAGATTTTGTTGTAGCTCAGCCATATGGTTTTATGTGATGATAACTATGTCAACTAATCATTCTAATGATCATTGATCAGCATCTCTTCACCTGCATTATCCTCTGTCTGCCAGCATGTAGTTGCTCTGCTGTTTAAGTATTAAGCTGAAAATGCTGGCAATATCAACCAGGAATCGTAACCAGTACGATCATTCACATTGTTAACATTTCTCATAAACAGAAAATTGTGATATAACATTGGTCATATTTATTTAATACAGTCATTAAGATATTCTTTGGTATGTAAATATGTTTACCCTCATTTCTGAGTTATCTCAGCTCCTTATTTTTGCTTCCTGTCCCTCACCTCCAACCAGTTATAGAGTTCACAAAGGTTTAAAAAAAAACACTCACTAAACTCACTACAATTCTGGACACAAGATTTTTATTAATTTTTTAATTCATTCACTTTTGCTGCTTTTTTGGTCTTTGTTTAGCTCAACAAGATTTCACTGCATCGTGTAGTTTTGTCACACTGCTTTCCACTACCCTTTATACAGTTATTGCCTGAATGCACATAACTTAAAACACATATATCAATATTTAAAAGATGTCTTTCTTTAGAGAGGATGTTCAGTTATAATCGATTGCTGTTGTCTTACATCAAGCAAGAGAGGACTGTATTTTATGTATTACTTTATGGAAATACCTGTATGTACAAATGCTGCATTTTAGTCAATATTTTATTTATCTAAATCTGTCTAACCATGTGTCAGGTATCATTGCGTTTTAGTCTCCAGTAAGTGGTGTTTCAGATTGGCAGTAAGTCAGATACTAGGACAGATGAAGTGGCCTCTCTTAGAAGGGCAAGTCAGAAGACTCCTCAGTCATACTTTCTGTTCTGAGCAATTTTATTTAGTGTGAAGGGGTGTGCTTTGTTTTTACACTGTTGTGTATTTTGTGTTATATTTGCATTTGTAACCAGGGAGAAGAGATTGAGAAAGTTGTTGTTTGACATTCTCAACTGAAAGAACGGGTATTGTTGCGATCATTTTCAAACAACTACACCTTTCTTTCACTCTTTATGTAAATGTATCGTACGGATGAATCACCAGTTCTGGTATCTGCAGGCAACACTGTAAGCCGCCTCATAGATTGACCCGAATCAGTTGTCCAATCACAGGTTTGGATTTAATGTTTCTTTAGACATTATAATCTGACGTACTCAATTCTTGAGTTTGAATTACTCCATTATTGAGTTCTCTCTGCTTTCTTTCCTCCGTCTCTCTTTTTTTTCTTGCTCTCTCACTATTTATTTATTTATTTTCTGTTTATTCTTTTGCTTAAATATAAATTTTTCAACCTGCATATGTCGAAAATAATACTGTAATTTATTGCTACTTCCATCACCTGAAAGTCCACCTGTACTTCACAATCTACTACTCATGATTCAGCATCAAGCATTGTTGTAACTAGCCAACCCATTATTAAATTAAGCCACGAGATCTGGATTTTGTCACAGCCCGAAGTCTTTCCTATGTCATGGTGTACGGGAATATTTGCCATTGGCCATCAGTCTGATATGTTTCTCAGTTGCCTTTGATATTTCTTTAAAGGTTACTGGCTCATTAACATTTTTTGAGGGTGGGTTTTTAAAATTAGAAATGGCATCAATATATTATTTTCACACATTACTACCACCACAACAAATTTGCTTTCCAAGTGAGGAAATCTTGGAATGGTCTGTCTCATTTGAAAGAGGATTTCAAAGTAGGTCAATGTTTTTTGTTTTTTTTAGCCAAGTTTCATTGGCTTTCCAAGTGCATTTTAAAATTATTTAAGAATTAATGTTCATCACTTCTGTGCTCACCATTATTGTTGTGTAACAATATCGTTTCCATGGAATCATTAAGAAAACACCTTGCAAAGACCAATTCGAAAGCAAAGATATGTTTTGATTAACTGTGTGGGAATACAAGTGAAGATTCAGAAACGATCATGTAGTCATGAATCAAAATATACTTCACCAACAGATAACCTTGCACATTTTGCAGTTTTGTGTAAAATACTGTATTATAATGAACGCCATCAAAACTTCTTGCATCTGGCTGGCCAGGGGCAGATAATCCAGTCACCCCATTTGTTCGTGTGTGCCTCTGTAGATGCCAGCGTTTGGTAGACATGGTTGGTGAGGCGATGCGGTGGTGGGCTCAGTGGGGTTCTTACAACTTTGTCCAAATTTTGACGTGAAGAGACAGATGTGTCGAGAAAAGTCTGACTGATAAAGGCTTGGCCAATCTTACAGCTACATGAAATGCAATCTTGGACTGAGAATTTTACATTTGTATGTGTGCAAATGTTCCGAGTTAACATTAAACGGTAAGGTTTTACATTTCCCCTTCTTCTTTAATGGGAGTTTCTATTTATTTTTATTCTGTTCAGTGACAGAAAATGATCTGCATGCAGAACAAAAACAAAACAGTTCTGTAAAATTATGAACTCAGACTTGAAGCTAGTCTGTTGTGCTTCTGGGGGTCTGCATACCATGAGAAATGTGTAGAGTGTAACTAGTGCCTAGACCTATTGAACTATTTTTGTTTCTGCTCTTGAGAAACAAGAAGTATGTGTATACTGTGAAAGAAGAGCAGTACCAGCTCTATGACACACAATAGCCTCCATGGGGATAAATCACCTTTGCTAGTGTTGTAAATTATTTATTGATTGTTGTCTCATCTGTATCTATAGCTTCACTTAGTTATGCATGCCTTAGACTCTGAATGGTAGGCATCATTGTGGATATTGAAAAACTCATTTCATTACTCATGTTAGGTCATTATTTATGCTTACGTCATGCCACTTTTTTTCGGTCTTGTTTTACTGGCAGAGATGCTTTATTCCCGTACTTTTATTATCAATGGTAAACAGTAAGCTGCAACAAAGGATGCGGTTGGTGATAAGGAGGACTAACATAAAGACGTGAGAATATGCAGTTTAAAAATTAAAAAAAAGAAGTTTTCTCAATCAGAGATGACTGGCTCTTGATTTTGTTTGTTTGTTTTTTTCTGTCTTTGCATTCTATACTGTGTTTGCCACGAGTTTCCATCCGCCTTTGCATGCATCTATTATTATGATGTTGAGGGATAGCGTGTTGTCAACTTTGACACTTGCCTCAAAGTCAGGGACTGGTGTCTGGTGTAGCAGTTAGAAGGCACTTCACTGTTGCTAGCAGGAGTAGAGTTCCATTTTTGAGTGGAGTGAAATTTTCATGAGTATGTTTGTCTTTCTGCTGGGATATTGTATCCCTTCCCAGACAGACTGGGTTAGCCCCTACAGGTAGGATCGGAAACACACTTCCTAAATCATGCAAATTGCGTCGATGGGGGCGTAAAAACACATTGGTAAAAACGAAAAACAAAACAAATTTTGGTTGGGGAGGGGGAAGTGATCTTGTGGAATAATAATATGGGAGTATTCATGATTTTTTAAAACCTTTACTTTTGCTCACTTAATAGCTTTTACTAATTTTGGAAAAATGTCAAGGTGCCTGTGGTGTAGCTGTTTGGTTCTTCGCTGTCATGTGAGACCCAAGTTCTATTCCACAGTTGGGAGAATTTTTATCGTGGTTTCTTGATCTTTCTGCCTGGATGCCAAGCTATCCATCTAAATGAGTGAATGACCTAAAAGTGCTGACTGGGGCATATACACCTACACATAACAAAAAAAAAAAAGAAAGAAAACGGGGCTCTTTTGGTCTAGAGGTACATGTATGGTGTTTGATTCTGTCTAAAAGTTCCGGGATCGAATCGAGTATTCAAGGAAACAGTTTTTTTCTCTAAAATTAAAATTTTCTTCTTTGCTAACTTTCTTGTTCTGTCATCTGCTTTCATCACCACTTTTTCTCTGCCCCCACCTCCAGTGTGCTTTTTGCTCCGTTTCTCCTAACTGGTTCCACTGCTGTTCCAGGTTCCTCCTTACTACATGTACTGTCTTTCATCCCCCGCCCTGATCTTATTCTTAGGATAGATCAGATTGAACTTTCACATCTGGTGACCTAGCCTCTAATAAGGGTGAAAAAATCTTGGAAGTCCTGTGTTCAAGTTCAAGTTGCACACTCTAAACTTCCCCTAGTGAAGGCTAGTGGTCCTAGAACTTACTAAAAGAGTAGGCTTTTGCTGCCACCTGGGAAAAATTCATAATCAATTTTTATCAAAAATGAAAATATAGTCGATATAGTATAAAAGTAAAAAGTACCTTTGATATCAAAATGTGTCTGCCTGATGACAATGAGCCCCATAAAGTTGAAGGAAAACCGGTCCTATATATATCAAGGAGTACTATACTGATATATAATGTAGAAATCAGATGCACTGCAGGTTGAAAAACAAGCAGTCACTACCCCAGGTCCAGCATGGAAACGCGAAAAAAAAAAAAAGAGTATAAGTACTATAAGTAGTACTGTATAAATCAAGAGCTGCATGTTGTGACCATGTTGAAAAATATGTCACTCAGAGCTATCAGCAACTGAATAAAAGTTGGCCTCCTGCTGGATGTCATCAGTCAGTGTGATCCCCCAGCCTCTCCCAATATGCATTTGTATCATGTAGTTAAAATCCATGAGAAATGATTCTGAGGCTGGCTCAAAAGTAGTTAATTCTAATTACACATGTTATCGGACCTATTACATGTAGCTGTGTAGTACTGTTACATTTTTATTTAGAAGTTCAATTTCTAATTACATGTATTAATGAATGACCTGGTCGTAGGGTAAAATGATTATGATCTCACGTTTTGTGGTTAAGACAGCTGTACAGAGGCACTGCTGAATGTGAATATGACCTATTTCACTATTTGTCCAGGGCTAGATTTCTTTTTTGAGAGGACAGTTGTTTCTCAGGAAGATGAACAAGACAAATTCATATTACTTGATATCTGGGGTGTTCAGTTGGTAATGTATCATGCTAGACTACGAAGCAGATGGCCATGGTTCAAATCCTAGACTGAGCAATCTTGACCTCTTGTCGTTTCGTGTTTATTGGAACCAGACATTAAATCTGAAGGTCCTGCCTTATAACTTAATAGTGCTGATTGGGGCATTAAATTCATACCCAGGGGGCTCTCGTGGCCTGCTGGTTAAATTGTTCGCCTCTCATTCAATAGGTCCCGGGTCAGAATTCGGATAGCGACGGAAAATTTTAATCTCTATAATTTTCTCCTTTCACTTCCTTTCCTGCTTTCTAACAACATTCTATGGTCAACTTGTCTCAATTTTCTGCCTCCACCCCCCCTCTGGACTCCTGATTCTTTTACAGTCTTTCCACTGCTTCTTGGTTCCTTCTTACAGCTGTTTTTCAACCACACCCCTGATCTTATGGTAGGTAAGATCTACACCTAGCCTTCTCGAACAAGGGCAAAAGACTTGGAGGTCCCGTGTGTAAATTGTGCATAAAAGATCCCTTGGTTGTCCAAAAGCGATAAAAGTAGGCTTCAGCCGCCACCGGGGCAAAATTAAAAATTTCCTGCCACTACCAACTGAAAATGGTGTGTCCCGTGTGCTCACATGACCTTATGCAGTTGCAAGCACCGTAAAACACTTACCAAAAAAACTCCCCAAAAGCCCCCCTAAAACTCATACCCATACACTTTACCCAATATCTGAACCACAAGCAACAATAGCACTAAGGGAACTGAAAATTTTTAGTTAATCAATTTTCAGAGTGGGTGGTCGGTGGGTGCTCTGGTGTGGTCTGCCTCGTCTATCCTATCAAACATCTACATGTATCCTCTTTATCTCCCCCTCCTTATTTTGTGTTTGTTACTGTTACTCGCTTGTAACACCTCTAATCTTCGGCACTTATATAATATTACCGTATTGTGTTGCAAGTGCAGTAAAACCAGTACTAAAACTAAAACAATTTTATGTCATGTAAGCTGTGCTCCAGGATGCATGTTGGCAACTGCAGGGCACTTGTTAAAGAACTTGATGAGCAGACTAATTCCTACTAGGAAAGGTTTTATTAACTTGAGTCGCAATCTGAAATGTTCTTTTTTTCTGTGGAATTTTTTTTTCTGCTGATGGTGTCCTGACATGGGATCAAGTGCTTGATCTTTGAAAAGACCTATCATTTGCCATGTAAGGCTTTAACTTTAACTTTGAATAAGCACTCAAAAGAACTTTGGGTTGTCTTCTTCCTCATGTACAAGGCTGGGGAGACGTCGTCAGCTGTGACAAATGTTCTTCTTAATATCTTTGTGTTCCCTTGCTAAATCAAATCTCAGGCGTACTCAACTGCTGATTTTTCCCTTCGTAGGACCCTTTTCCTTCGGGCAGCCACTTTTCGATTTTGAAGTTACTCTATATTTTTACACTGACGAAGCATTTTCAGTTTTAGTAGGAGCGGTAGGAATTTATTTCGAATTTTGCCCGAGTGATGGCCAAAGTCTACTCTTATCGATTTTAGGGCCACCGAGGAATCTCTTGTGTGAGCAATTTGCAACATGGGACCTCTGAGATTTTTTCCCAAAGGGGGACGTTTCTCGTTCAGGCACAGTAGAATTGTGAATAGGCTGATTCATCAATGGCACACTCATAACGGTGCCTGATCTACAACAGGGAACTGCTGCTTTTTCTTTCCTAATCCTTACTATTGTCATTTTTCCCTCCACTTCTTTTGTACATTTTGTCTCACTCTTGTGACCCGCTATTTCCGGGGTGCCTTGGAAAGTTGAAACAGACTTTGTGCTGTTGAAGCTAGAAAGGTGAGCAGAGTAAGCCTGATTCCCTGTAAAGACTTCTCTTTTGACATCCACCCCTTGGCACTCATACTCATATGACCTTTTGCAGTTGTGAGTGCCGTAAAACCTCTACTAAATACAAAATAATGAAATTTTTTCGCCCTTACCTGAGAAGGCTGAGTGTTCAATCTTACCTACCCTAAGATCAGAGGTGTGGCTGAAAGACAGCAGTAAGTAAGAACCAGGAGTAGCAGTAGAGTCAGGAGTAAAGGAGAGAGGAGCCCAAAGAAGGCTGAGGGTGGTGGGAGAAAGTGGAGATGAAAGCAGCCGACAGAACAGGACTTTACAGGACTAGACAACGGAAAAGGAGATGAAAGCAGAAAATTTTAGAGAAGAAAATTTTTATGTCCCTGGCAGGTTTTGAGCAGTTGTCCTTTTGAATGAGAGACAAACACCATACCTCTAGACCACGAGAGCCCCTTATGACAAATGATGAACCGAATACCATTCTAAATGGTCAACTCTGTGTGAATTGCCTCTTCAGTCCTGGTCCCCTGACCCTTACAGGACACATGTTACACCAGAGCTCCCATGGGTTGACTGCTAGGTCTGCACCACCATACGCTCAGGTGTGCTTTTCATTCCAGAAGGGTTCAGGTTGAGTATGTTCAGCCGTGCTCTTGAGTCCACAGGGTAAGGATCATAAAATCCATACCGGCATTGGTCTCGAGAAAACTTCTAAATTTGTTGTTGTAATGATGCAAGGATGACTAATTCCCTCTTCACAGCCTTTAGGATTAGTCAGAACATTGTACAACTCGTGTTTTCAAACCCTTCGACAAACTCTCATACTTGTATAGTATATAACCCACACTTTAATCAACAAGGAATTATGACCCCCAACTATCATTTAGAGAAAACTGGTGCAGAGGTAAGAGGCTTCCTTGTGTCATACAGAAGATCCGAGTTTCAATTCTATCGAGTACCTCGGTTTTTCTGCTTGGATGCTGTATCCGCCTCGCCGTGGGTTGGCCCTAACTGACATGGTGGAAGCCCGCCTTCTAAATGATCTAAATTGTGTTGATGGGAGAGTAAAAAACACAAATAAAAAAACAAAACAAAACTAGACGAAAAAATATAGAACTTAAAAACAATGTGATGAATTTATTTACAACAAAATGCAACATATTAATATAAATATTATTTACATTACTCTGAATCATAGTTACTACACATCCTTCGTCGTCCACGATTGTTTCTTTTTTTCTTTCATGGCTATTTTCTTTGTCTTTCTTGTCAAATATTTCTGCATTTTGCCACTCTTTTCCAGCTCCTTTTTGTATTCCTCTTCCTCAAGGGCTCTCTTTTCCGCTGAAAAAGAAAAAAAACTTATTGTAATAAGTGCCTATTTATATATGTAAGTAGGGCCTACTCTTAGCATGCACACAGAAAAATTGGTGGGACGAGGAAATGTTTTCATGATTAAGTAGGAATTTCACTTGGAACATGTTTTGAATACAAAGATATCCATGTAGAAAAAAAAAAATTGGGACCTGGAAATCTGTTCCCCACATATGCATGTTTCCCTGTGTGGGTGTGTGTGCTACACTGTATATTGTATACATGATACACTTTTATAAACATGTTGTTTAAATAATGAGTACTTCGCAGCAGCTTCTACTCTTTTTCAATATTACTACTTAGTATTGTTGTAATCTATAACTGGGCAAATTTGGCAGTTGTGGTGTTAACTCCCCACATTTTACAAACTAACTAAAATTCAAAAGGGGGTATACTGTAAAAAGTGAAACTGTAACTGGATATTACAATTCACATACAGTCAAAATTGTCTAAGATGGTCACCCATTGTTGAGGAGAAAAGTGGCCATATTACACAGTGTTTTAATGTTTTAAAAGACGCAACAACAACAACAACAACAACAACAACAACAACAACAACAACAACAACATCGCCATCCCTGATGGATCGTCTGTCGCAGGATACCGCGAAGGTGGAGCAGCAGTGGTGATTGTGAATGATGAACCACCGCGAACAGAAATCATTAAAACTAAAGGTGCATTTCTCACATCATCTTATGACGAGGAATGCCAGTCAATGATGTCTGCTGCACAATGGATTGCTGACAATTGCCCGAGTAGAAGCATTGTGCTGATCTTGACTGACAGTCCGTCCCTCTGCAAGGGGCTGCTAGGCAACAGCTCAAACATCAATGATTTGCGCCGCAAGTTCAGTGAAACCACAGCCACAATAAAGATCCAGTGGATTCGAAGCCATGTTGGAATCGAAGGAAATGAGGCAGAAGACCAAGCTGCCAATGAAGCCAGAGAGATTGAGAGAGACAGACGACCAATAACATACATGCGAGTCTTTTCTATGAAATCTTTTCAAGGGAAATCAGAGACCCACCATGCAGAGCTAAGTACCAGCACCTGGAAGATCTCTGTATTCTGGGTACTCCAATAAGCAGTACCAAAATATCACATGTCGCTGGGACCAGGTTGAGCTAGCGAGACTGCAGTCGGTCCATCATTGGAGCTTGAGAGGGTATCAGAACTTTGTGACTGAAGAGCTCAACCCACGTTGCCGAAAATGCTGCCATGAAAAGGAGGGTGTCGAACATATGTTTGAATGTCCAGGAACAATGGCAATTCGAAAGGAGTTATTTGGACGAGTGGAGATGCCTCTGAGTAATTTGGAAGAGTGGAGATGCCTCTGACAAATTTGGACAAGTGGAGGTGTCTCTGAGTTATTTGGACGAGTGGAGGTGCCTCTGAGTTATTTGGACGAATGGAGGTGCCTCTGAGTTATTTGGACGAGTGGAGGTGCCTCTGAGTTATTTGACAACGGAGCCAAAAAAAGAGCCTGGCCCTCGCTCGAAGCTTTATTCGTGGAGTCCACCAGGCCCATAAAGGAAACAAAATAAAGCCTTCATCATGAACGTGCAATGTTTCTGTTACCAAGAGTGAGATGATTACAGAGATGATTTGAATAGTACACAGAGACCAAGGACAAAAAGAAAAAAATACGTATACGATTCAGCTACAAATGAAAACGATGAAAAAGAAAAAATCTTTGTTTCTACCAAAAAGCTCCCACTGGAAGGTAGAAAAGTAGTAAGTACATGTACTTGAGTAATATTATACTGAGTACTGGGGGGGGGGGAGTGGCTGTTTGTACAGGAATTGTCTTATACTGGTGGCTATTAAAATAGATTTGACTGTATGAAATCAAACTCAAAATAGTTGGTCACGTAATTTTATAGGAATGAAACTACAGTGGTCAATCAGTGTTTGAATGTCATCATACTGTAAAGAAATCAAAATCAGACCAAAAACAAGATGTTATATTGAACAGACCTGCATGTGAGCCTCAACCAGATTGTCTGAAAATTTTGCGCACCCCCCCTAACTTAAAAGAGCTTTTTAAATTGTGGGTATCATAAAAGGAAGGAATTCTGAGTAACAAGCGACCACCCAAACAAAGACAATAAAGAAGAGACCTAACCCTAACCCAAAAAAGAACCTGCAACAGCCCTCAAGTAAAAAGGCCAGCACAAGTAAAAAAAAAAATAAAAAGCACACTCCAAAACAAACAAGCCTACATTGCTATAAAAAGAATTTGATACAATAATACATAGAATAGGAATATGAATCCTCCATATAGATCTCTAGATCTAGTTATATTATAAATCTAGTGATCTAAATAAATCTAGATCAAGATCTAGATCTTGTAGAACAAGTGAATAGGAATAGACCTTGGACGAGAAATCCGCATCCGATTTCAAACAGATGGATTCAGCTGAATCTAGATCTAGATATCTAGATCTAGATAAAGATTAGATCTTTATTCTAAGTAAATAATTCACGCACCTGATGAAATGCGTTTTACCAACATTAATATTACAGCACAACCTATAATAGGGTTTGACACAATAGAATTGGAATATGAATCCTCCATTGAGGTCTATAATGATCTATAAATCTAGATCTAGATCTAGATCAAGTAGAAATTGCAAGTGAGTCGGACTCGAAAGAATCCACATGATCTGAACTATCAGTAAACAAACGAAATTCAAAATGGCCGCTCGAGTACGAAACTGAAAGTAGATAATTTAGGTCGCCGTACTTTTTCGTATTCGTATCTACTACTCAGGTTCCGACAATTATGTCGGAAACGCCGACGTCGGCAGTCGGCGGTCTGCACGAAAACGAAAGTGCCGACAAAGCCGACGGGAGAAAAAGGGGTCGCTGGCAGTGGGCCAGGCCTCATACTACGCACATTGACTGATACAGGTGGCCCTAGCGATAGCATCGGTCGGCTCGCGGGTCGGGTCGCGACTGTCGGCAAACATGCAGGTCTAATTGAAGTACGGGTACATCTGCACTACATAATAGACACTGGCTCTGAGTACATGTCTATGTATAAGATTAAAATTACGTGAACCAGTGCTGTAAGTGCATTTTAATTGAAGACAAGCCAAGGAGATATAAAACAGAAGTTAAAGGGACTAATCTAAGTTCACAATGTCCTCTGTTTAACGTGAAGGCTGTGACAATTTTTTTTAGAACCACACAGCAGTCCCAGTAGAGGAAGTCCTTTTCTAAACAAGAAATCTGTAATTATTTTCCAACACATTTATCATTTATTTACCATTCACATCGGCTGAAATAAGATAAGCAAAAGAATTAACAGTTGTTAAAAAATGCAGTTTTATACATTTGGGCACAGATAAAATGAATCCTTAAAACCTGAAATCACAGAGAGCTCCTACAATATGCCATTTCCCGACTGAACTGCTATATATTTTCTTGCATTGCCATCTGCATTACAGATTTGTTAAACAACTGAAAAATCTGATCCAACGGGTATTGTAAAATTGGAGCCAATTTTTCCTCAAAACTGTCAAATTCAAATGGCCCTGCGCACACGAAGGAAAAAAACAATGCACCCATCGTCTTCAAGAGTGTCAGGTTCCATGAGTCCACCAGGCTTGCCCCCGCACAGCGTGAGACACACACTGCTGGTATAGAAGCACAGAGACACATCATAGGACATTGCCTATAGTGTGCGTAAGGCACAAGAGTTTAATTGAATCTAGTCATGTAATCTAGGGTGCTGGGTGGTGGAAGAGTGAGATCGAAGACTGACAGTGTGGCACTGGATAGGGCCATAAGGTGTGAATTGTTTGTTTGCGTGTGTGTGAGTGTGTGTGTATGGTTGTACGAATATGGAGGTATGGACCCTCAAGTTATTATACAGATTACACAAGAAGGGTGGGTGGTGTGCTGTGACCAGCGTTGCTTACATCATCCCGACGTAAAAGCAATTTAACTTTAGAAGTCAGGCTCATAAGCAACATTCTCATCCTTTCTCTTGCCTTGATACCGAACAAGGCACACATGCTATCCATCCTCCTGTATCCTTTTATTGATACTGAGTACTTCTCATGGTGGCAGAGAAGAGAAAACTTAGCTGTGTACAGTGGCGGTGGGTGGACCAAAATTTGGGTGGGGCTTAGGTTGCGTCCAGTTCTTTACCACCAAATAGCAAGCAATAAGAATTAATCAGTAATGATTTTTGTATATTCACGGTGAGCCATGGCAGTTTGAGAACCATTCAAACGAGAAGAGTTGCCTCTGTTTTCTATCTCTTTGTTTTTAGTTAAATTCTTGTTGATGGTGGGGACGAAGCCGATTCACCTCCTAATTTCCTTTAATTAGTTTTCGTGTGATGAAAAAGTTGCCTTACAAGTAGTTCGACCTGATTTATAACTGTTGAATCTCAGCGGCACAAACACAAACATGCACACACAACACTTCAAACATAATACTTCTATAAGCTGGATTAGGCCGTGTAGTCTAGAAAGTTGAACGCACCCAACAAAGAACCAATGGGCGCATTAGGTATCTGTGTCAGTGGGGGAAAGTGTGTCGTAAACTTTCACCTCTTTTTCAGGGCTAGGAGAGCGTGAGCCCTCGGTACAGTGTTATTTTTTCCCAGTCTTCTACCTTTTTACAAGAAGAGTTTCAATTAGGACGGACTGTGGGAAAAGGGCTCATCTTTGCTCAGCCCTAAAGACATTCGATTGGCTGCTGGGTTACTATAGTTGTAAGCGGTGAGAACAGTGATTGGATAAGCGAGCAAGCCGCCAAGTTGATCACTCTCTGTTCATTGCAAGCGGTCATAACAGTTTTAACAGCTTCTTTCATTTATTTTGGGATAGAGTTTGGGGGCGGTGGGTGGGGAGGGGGTAGGGGCTCAAGCCTGTGAGCCCTTCACTACCCACCGCCACTGGCTGTGTAACATTAGAAAATCCAGCGTCATAGTTTAGCAGAGGTTGACAAGAAGTCCTTCACGAAGACAGAAATTGGTTTTTAAAAAATTGGTTTCCCTAAATCTATGCTTTCCATGTTTCTAAAAAAAACCGAGGTAAAACTGACAAAACCAGCATTGTCAGCCCGACAGAAAGTAAGCGCAATTGCCAGATTTGAAAACACTGAGCTAGCATTGTTTTAATTTCAATGGTTCTAAAAAGAATGTGCCATGTCTCTTTTTATCTGTAGTCACATCCTAATGACAAAACCAGACAAAATCGCAAAGGAGTTTTGCCTTGACTTCACATAAAGAAATATAGCATCACCCAAAAAGCTGTGTGCAGTGAATCAACCACATTAAAAAAACTGTTATGGTAGTTTATTTTCTGACCATTGTAACTTCACAGTAACTTCCTTGATTTTCATCTATACTCTCAAATGTTTTTAATTTATCGGTTCACCCGAATTATAAATGGATGCGTTGAATACATTTGTAAATCCTTGATGTGTTGAGTTATCAGTGCCCAACTGTAGTTATATAGAGTAACAAAACTGACCTTTCTTCATGAAGTAAGGTTTCTTTCCTTCTTTCACCCTTTCTTTCTCTTTCTTTTTCCACTCTTTCTCAAGCTCCTCTCTCCTGGCCTTCTTCTTCTCAGCAAGCTCTTGTTGTTCCTGAGGGGGTGTGCAACTTGATATAGTCATATAAACACAGAGACAGAGAGAGACAAATCCATTCAAACTTACATTCTCATTGGTATTACAACATCCCTTGCACAATGGCCAAGTGGCTGAGGGTCATGAAAGGTCTACCAGAAAGACATCATTATTCATATTCCGTCCAAGGATGTTATTTAGTTTTAGTACTGTCGTGTTCTTAAGCCTTTGCGGAAAAAAAAAGCAGTGGGAAGTTAAAGAGAAAGCGGCCCAGACATGTCCCCTCCCCCAAACAATATGTATCAATCTTCTGGCTTTCTCAGGAATTAAGAGCTATTATCGAGTCGGTGATCTCTTCAAGAACACTTAACACTCAAACAAGGATAAGCTTTTTCAAATTTTAACATCAGCTAAACAAGTTGTAAAAATATTCCCTTAACTTAAAAGATTTATTTAAAACTATCCTTAACAGTGTTTCTAAAGCCCTCAAAACCCCCCGAGGCAGTGCCACTGACTGTAGTGTCTTTAGGCCATTCCCAAAGGGGGGACATTTCTCGTTCAAGCACAGTAGAATTGTAAAAGGGCTGATTCATGTCACGCTCATAACTGTGCCTGATCTACAACAGGGTACTGCTGCTTTTTCTTTCCTATTCCTTACTATTGTCATTTTGCCTCTACTTCTTTTGTATGTTTGTCACTCTCTTGTGACCTGCTATTTCCGGGGTGCCTTGATAGTTGAAGCAGACTTTGTGCTGTAGAAGCTGGAGAGGTGAGCAGAGTAAGTCTTATTCCCTGTAAAGACTTCTCTGTTGACATCCACCCCTTGGCGCTCATATGACCTTATGCAGTTGCAAGCGCCGTAAAACCCTCTACTATAATAAAAATAAAAAGCCCTCAATACAGGAGCAGGAACATTTTATAAAGGATTTGTATTTATTGAAAAATTCAGGGCAACCAGAAGTCATTGACAAACAAGTCATTGCTTGAATATCAAATAGAACAGAAAAAAGCCATATGAGACTTGAATCATAAAAAACCCAACAGATTTTCGGGATCCAGGCAAATTTGCCAATAATAAAGTCAGAACATCTTTAACCATCACGTAAGTGGTGTGAATAATATCACCCTATTGTCCTATTGATGGCTCCTCACTGATCAAGGTCCCATAATGCAAACTGGTACTCCCTGTACTCACTGGGAGACGCTTAAAAATGGAAGCGCCCATTGTTTCAACATGGCACTTGACACTTCTGAGGGCAGCCTCACTCTTTGAATCTTACAAAGTCCTTTCTGAGAGCATGATCACAATATGACCTACTTCACTGTGAAGAAGAAAAGAATATTTCATCAACTTCTTACCATACGATTAAGTAACTGTTTCATTTCAGATTTCTTGTCTTTGTCTTTTGTTTTCTTTATTATTCTTTTCAGCTTCTGAAAAAATAAATGGTAAAAAAAGACACTTGAGTAAAACAGAACTAAACATTAAAGAGGAAAGTAAATGGACACCAAACAAATGTTTGGAACCCACATCAGTTATGCAAAACAAAAGTACTACAACAACTTAAGTCCAAGTTCCCACTTGTCATAACTTGTATTTGTTTCAGTTTGCAGTCTAGCATGCACATAGCAAAATTGGGCGGATGCGGAAATCTTTTCAAATTGCACGAATTTCACTACCACATGTACTTCTTTTAAATACAAAGAATACGCATGTAAAACACAAATTTGGGACCGGAAAATCTGTTCCCTTTGCACGTGTTTGGAAATGTGTAAGCCAGACTGTATTAAGTTCGATCAACCAGATATATGTTCAACAAAACAGCCTTTGAAGATATTCCTCACATCCCATACTAGGGTTATGAGGTCCTAAAACAAGAGATTAAACCGAAGTCTTTTAACATGTTATGAACCTTTAAAATTGGAGAGACATTATCTTTCTTGTAAATATAGCAGGACTCTTAGTAGACAGCACAGCTGGGTGGGCATTAACAAAAAAAGAATTTTCTATGCTAGGTCTGGATCTAGACATATTGTAAGTGGCAGTATCAACAATCTCTTACTCTCAGTAACTATGGCGGCAAATTTTATTTTGATAAAACACAAGCTATCAGTGCTGAAAAATACCTTATGATTAACCATAACATTAAAAAGACGTAGACAGCATAACTTTATCAAGAGTAGAAAAAGAGTAAACATAACAAAAGTACCAAATCTCATCAAAGTCCATGCAAGGCTTTAAAAAAATGTATTCTAAGCCATGTTACTTAAAAAATACAGCTTCTGATGAAAAATGGGTAATTCTAAACTATCAACATTTTACACAGACATGGAAAAATATATTCCTCCCAAAGAAACAAGACTTCAAGCCACTCACTAATTTTTCTTTTGACTTCACATCCGCAATAAATCCGTATGTGTTTTTAAATATTTTTTCATTATACTCTCCAGACAAGTCGTCAAATCTTGGGTCTCTTTTTGTCTGCAACATAAAGGATATAAGGTTAATCATTTCAGGGATCAAAGTAAAAGACAATGAAAATAAGCCTTGAAGTGTATACAAAGTGACAGGGTCAAAGAGAACTTCACAACCATGGGCAATAAATGTTTACATCTCGAAGCAGATATACTTGAACAGACAAAGTAACAGTTTCATTTCCTCTGTCCTCAAGGCACAGAATAAACAAATTTATAACGATGTTTCACAACAAAATCTCTCTTTATCTCTTTAATGTTTTCAGTAATAAAAGCATAACACAAAAAGCACTTCATGAGAATTTTGAACATGAAAACCAGGTCAATTAACGAGAAGTCTTTTCACTTTTTATCACTACATTCAGTTTACTACAGCTGAGCTACCTTCTGTGGGCAAAAATGGAACTTCACTCTTTAATCTCCGAGGGGGGTAAACCCACCATGCCGGGACCCTCTTTTGGTACAAAATCTAAATGTGACAAATACATCTCTAAATAAGTTATTTAATCAAAACAGGTCAACCTATTTTAACAGTTCATCTAATGAAAGAACTCCTGGTGAAAGAGAACTGTTTTTTGCAACTGCCCAAAAAATAATCGACACCGAAGTCGTCGTAAACAAATGTACCCAAACCACTGGGAGCGGCTTGCCGGAGATAAGAAGTTAATAATCCTGATATTCAAATATTTGCTTAACCCTATCCATATGCCCTGGGGTCATTTTTGTACCCCTGGGACTGTATTCTTCACATATGAATACTTCTAGAATGAAGATCTCTTTGAAACTTTCAGTATTTCTCAAAAAATCGTTTTGACAGACTGCTATGCAAAGAATACAGATCGGATTAACGAGCAAATTTACTCTTTGAAAGTGGTGGCACAGAGTTCGTCACATCATATGGATACGATAGTAAAACAGGACATAAGGAGAGGGTTAAAGAAATTATCAATCTTTTATAGTTTTGGAGTTCTATCTTCACTTATTCAAAAGGATAAAAGTTAAATCATCCACCCTGTTACAATCAGTAAAAAAAAGTCCAGCCATCAAAAGTTACCTTTTCTTTTGGTGCTGAAACTTTCTGCGGGACAGCTCGTCTAGCTGACACTTCTGTTGGTCTGTGGGATTGAAGTAAGTAATAAGGTACACAAAGTGTGAGGGGACTAACAAATCAGCAAATCAAAATAAACAGATAAAAAGATTGTAATTTGTGGTAGCTGCAGTGCAGCTTCCAGTGTTTGTGCTAGTCTTGAAAAATCGCGCTCAAGAACACAGCCCAGTCACCACCCATTTTATAGCTATTGTCATTCCATACTCCATACTGTTTGGAGAAACAGGTCAAACTATGGCACACATTCTCCAGCAGTGCAGAACACATTGGGCCCTGAGACAGGAAACATGGCCAATCCCATTGTACGGGCCAAAAGAAGAACTGAGCAGGAAGGCCCAGTATATGATAAATATCGGACTTCAAGTGTAATGCGATAGAGAAGAAAAAGACTTGATACTGTTTGCCATTTCATTTTAAGTCTTTTACTTTTACTACAAGTACATTAATCGTGAGTTACTATTTTCTTATCTTCAAAAATAAGTTTCAATCTGAGTTGGAGTTTTAAAGTCTAATTAACACTATTAAGCCATACCTATGCCATGATTAAAATGAAAGCAGTACTGCAAATGAAAAGAGGATTTTATTACGTTAAAACTGGTTCAAAACTTGAATTTGACCGTTATAACACTGGCTCTTACTTTAACAAAACAACATCTTTACTAAAAACATATGAGCTTTTTGACTTAGATTAGATTTGCTTGTTCTAAAGAATTATAAGTAAGAGGGGGACACAGGAAATGAGGAAAGTGAAAAAGTGACACGATCACGCCAATTTCGCAATGTGCGCGCTAGACTGTGGTATTGTTAAAGAAAAAAGGGTTGTCCTTAACCAGCACACTAACCTGTTTTTATTTTCTCTTTTGAAAACTTGATCCCCACTTTGTTTTCCGAGTGCAAGACCATGTTTAAGTTTATTGAACCTGAAAAAAAAAGTGAAAAAATATATACAATTTCATGATCCTTCTGAGAAGAGCAAATAGGAAGGAGAAAAAAGGAACAAAAAAGCAATAAGTCTTGACACATTCACTGAATAATACTACCATGCAAATTAGAAAAAAGCTGGAAGTTCCATATAGAGGCAGTATAGTAGTAGAGATGGGCATTTTAATTTTTTCTCCCTGCATGTAATAGTGTAAGCACTCTATTAAAAAACATTTTATGTCTATGATGAAGGCACATATGTGTCTAATTGGGCCAATCATGCTAGGAAATGATCTTGCACTGCACCTCTTTAGGTTTTGTACATAAGCATTTTTCATTTCATCTTTCTCTGTAAAGCCAGTCTTGATCATTTTTAAAATGGCTGCAATCTTACACTGCTTGCTCCCAGAGTCTGAAGCTGATTTCAGTTTATCCATTTATATAAGGAGTATACAAGGAACAATTTTCCTCAGCTTTAATCCCTGCGGCTTAAACTGTAACAAAGATGGAAATTACTTGCTGATTTTCCAGGGAGTACCACTCCCTTGTCTATTCTTAGCTCCATGTTAACTGTTCATGTTGACGCTCCATGTTGAAATGTATGCGCCAGAGTGTCAACAGTTCATGTTGTTACAGCACTAACTGCTCACATTCTAAATCAAAGCCGCACACACTGAAACATTCAGATTAGTTTCTCAAGAACAAAGTCTCATCATGCTTAAAGTGTTGGAGGAAACACTTCTAGGTCTGTTCACCTCCGACAATGACGATTTCAGCTGATTCAGTGAACAGGACGATGATGACACTGAATAATGCTTTTAATGAGAATTCTTTCCAAAACAATTTGTCATTTCAGCCTTACACTGAAGACATATTTTCAATACGGTACAAAAGCAGGCTGTGCAATAAAAATATGTTCATATAAAAGACAAAACGGACTTACGCTTTTAGACCAAGCTTCTCTTGCATCTCTTTCAGTTCACTCAGAGGTAAATGTGACATTTCTGAAAAATGAAACGATGAATAAAGAATAAGACACTGTCTTAAAATTCAGTTATTCAGCCTATTATATATATATATATATTTACTCGCATTTCAAGACAATCAATTGACTATAAAAAGAATAAATATGACATTTTTAACCACAAAATATTAACCATGTTCTATATAATATATTCTAGAGTCACAGCCTGAACATAGTCCTATTTATGCTCACTTCCCATCTACATGGGATAGTGGGCAGCAGCTATTGGTTCCCTGGATGAGGTAACTTACGAATAGGTGTGAAAGCTAGCAAGTATCACAAATAAAACAAAATGAACAAAACAGCATGCGGCAATGTGTGTTTTTATGTTGTAAGTTGTACCAAAGCTACATTATAATCCCTCATAGAACAGCTATACTATTGACTGCTCTATGTAAGATTCCAACATTTATCATGTGCTTGGCGGAGTCTTACACTAAACAAAGGATACATCTATAGACCAAGTTGGGCACAAGTGACCAAGAGTCAAAACGCTGTGTTTACCTCATTTTTAAAATCTCTCAACTACTGCACACGAACTCTTTGACTTATTCTCTCCTAATTTTTAATTCCTTTTCACACTTTTGTCAAAGTTTCGTTGATCAATTACTAAATAGGCACTAATAAACAGTGTTAACTATCTTCTGGTATCACATCTCCACAACTAACAATGCGGTGGCATTTTCTGGAAGTATAATATAAATGCGGAGTTCAGGTGTCTTAAAAACAGCTTTCAACCTAAATATACGGCTGCCAACTTTTTAAAGCAACAACAACAACCAAACAACCAGACTCTACCCACGTTGCGGGTCAAGATGATGGACAAGTGACCCCCCTTTTCAAACCCGTCACTCACACTTTTCTGCAAGCAATAAATTCAAACTATTCCAAGAAGACCAGCAACATTGTCAAAAATGTTGAGTAAAAATCTAAAATCTCTCCAGTTGATTATATACGGGGTCTGTTATCAATATTATTTGCAAAACCTGTTTTCAAAGTCCACAATTGTTCTTCAGCATCTTCAAGTCTGTGAAGAGCAATACAAAAAAAAAAAAAGAGTGCTTATTTTCTGACACGAAAATGTGCTCAAGTACTCAGATCCTCAAAAGTGTATTAAATACTTTTTTAACATAGGGCTTGGCAACTATGTAAATATAAGTGACAAAACTGTTATTGTTAACAAGACTATTTCTTTTCCCCAGATATGGACAGCAGGAAATTTGGACCAATAATGTTTTTATCCTTCACATTTTACTAAAAAACTTCAGGGGGTGAGGGGCGAAAAGGGGGGTGGGGGAGACACAAAGCCAGTATGCGTCTAAATCTTACCATAGATGAATATCACGCTAAACAGGAAACAAAACAAAGAATCATAAATTTATAGAGATTTAAAATAATCTGAACAAAATACCTACAAACATAATCTAGAAGTAATAACAATTTGACGAACAGAAACACAAAATTTACCTTCTCTTAACTGCTCCTGAAAAATGAACCAAAGACAGGTAGTGAATAAAACTTCGAAAAGGATAAATATAAAGCCAATATGTTGACATGAAAATTCTGACACCAATCATAAAATTCAAACCATTTCACTTCAAGGGGAATAAAATCACAGTACACGCAGTCGTTTTATTGCCCATTTCCTTCGTTTAAGACTTTTGTACAAGAAAAAGTGCAGTGCTGCTGGACATACAACTTTAATCAAACTGATTCTCCATCATCTATGACATTTTTCAGTTCATTGAAAACGTTTGGTTAATTAGGGAGAGAGAGTAAGTCAAAATCTAGTTGATTGACTAAATAAAAGCTATTATTGTTGTACTGTAACTAAAGGAAAGAGTTTATAACAAAGTGACACACCCTTTTTTTTTAAAGTAGAGGTTTTACGGCGCTCACAACTGCATAAGGTCATATGAGCGCCAAGGGAAGGATGCCAACAGAGAAGTCTTTACACAGGGAATCAGGCTTACTCTGCTCACCAGTCTAGTTTCAACAGCACAACGTCTGTTTTGACTTTCAAGGCACCCAAGAAACAGCAGGTCATAAGAGCGTGACAACACACAAAAGAAGAAGAGGAAAATGACGATACTAAGGATTAGGAAAGAAAAATCAGCAGTTCCCTGTTGCAGATCAAGCACAGTTATGAGCGTGAAATTGTTGAATCAGCCCATTTACAATTCTACAGTGTGTAAGAACAAGAAATGTCCCCCCTTTGGGAATGGCCTAAAGACACTTCAGTCGGTGGCACCACCCCAGGGGGCAATGACACACCAATATTTCAGCAACAATATTTAGAAAAAAAGGACAAAATGGAGACAAATGCTGAGAAAGCTAGAGACAAGATTGCCTTATCATATGTTACTGGAGACCAACTGGAAAAGAAGAGATCTTAGACCAACTGGAAGTTACAGAAGCACAAAGGCAATCACCCACGGCCTTGAAATGCCAAAGTTACAGGAAGAGGACAGAGGCAGAAATTTCTGCCTTGTGTACCTGATGGTAAGAGAGTAAGTAAGTGAGTAAGTATGTTTAGAAGAATTCATGACTTTAGACAGGCTAAGCGTCAAAAAGTTGTTAAAAATTGTTTTATCAAAATCATTACTTTTCATTAAATGTGCAGTTATGTTGTTCTGCATTCAGACCGCAGTATTGTCTCTGAGAAGCTAGTTCACATATATATAATATATATATTTACATGAGACATTACTGGCATGGGATTTTGGAGATGAATTTAGTGTGGATGATATTTGAGCAATCTCTCTAAACCGCAAATACGACTAAACCGAAGAAAATCAGGCGGTCATGCCGGTTTCAGTTTAACCGATCTCCACGGCATAATCTGTGTAAGGCAAAAGTAAAACTAAAACTCGTAACTTGAACTACTTGACAAGTATCAATCAAGTGTTTTTGATGAAAACAAGGATGGTGCAAGATCATTCTTAAATTGCAAACTACATTCAGGGCGCCGTGAACGTACCCTGCAAACTACGTTCACTGCATTGTGAACATAGTGACTGCATATTATTTAGTATAGATCTAGATCTTATATAAAAATTATCAATAAGCCTTGCCGCCGCAGTGGCTATTTTTACGGCGACCCTACTCCGCCTCTCAAGTACGTGACATGCCTCAATGTATTAGATCTAGGCCTATAGGGGCTGTTCAAAATATAAACTTACACCTCAGAGGGGAAAGGGTGTCTTTGGCTTCTGTAAGAAAAGTGTAAGATTGGGTGGGGAGGTTAACCAAATATGACACTTCTGTGAGATGAACGTTTTGCTCATGACTGGGAAGAAAAGGTAAAAGAAAAAGTGGATAAAATCAATGCCAGTAACAAGACCCAGATCTGCATGATCACTCTGCAGATCCCCATTTTTTTTTGGGGGGGGGGGGG